TTTAAAGCTATAGTACCATAGATTTCAGGTTTACCCGAATTTGCTTCTAAAAAACAGATAGTATGGATTCTAGGTAAGATTTATTACAGCATATAGATATTAAACTATACTCACTATTATTGCTGGTTTGGTTAAGATAGCTTATAAAGTAAAAATTAAAGTGAAATTGCAATAAAAAAGCAACATGGTAATGAGAAACATTTCTAAACAACAATACCCTGAAATAAACCTCATCTATCTCTTAGGTAACCAAATTTGAGAAGATTATATAGAAATACAATAAGACTAAACTGAAAAAAACATCATTTTCTTGAAAAAAAAAAAGGTATTACTTTATTTTAAGTAAAGAAAATAATAAAGGCTTTTGGCAGTGAGTGTCAGTCCCCACAGTGTTATCAGTTTTCTGGGAAAACCAGTAGAGTCTGTTTCTGTTTATGTAATTCACGGTGATGGTTCTAAGGCTTGGTGAATAGCTGATAAAAATGACAACTGGAGAAAGCCTTTACTTGAAATATGTCATAATCATGACAGTTAAGTGTGCATTTTGGCAGCTTAGCACTGCTTTAACACCAAGTATTTCACACATGTTCTGTCCGCCTCCATGTGCTGTATGTCCATTATTTTAAATCTTTAACTGAATTGTAAAACTTCTTTCTTGGCAGCATTATTTTCCTTTGCAAATATTATGCTCCCTGTAAAGAAAATTCATGTCTGGATAATTACTCAACATAATTCATGAGTGACCATGTGGCTGTGGAAAAAGTCATACTTAACAATAAGCTACCTTATTGGTTTTTTTTAATAGTATATAGCAATACAAGTGAATTATTCAAGCTGTATTTTGATCTCATAACAGGACATATAGCAGCTACAAAAACAAAATTCATGCAGCCAAGCCATTACATTGAGCCAGATTTCTTTTTTCAGAGCAGATCATGTTTATTGGTGTAAGGCTGTCATATTTTGTAAGTTTTCATAACACTGATGCCTAAATGTGTTTGACGCTGTGAAATTAATAGTGAGCTAATAGAGCTGGCAAAAAGTGCTAAGGCGAGTTCATTGTGGTGCCGTCGCCATCACAGTTTGAGTGTCAAACACAACACATGTGGCAACCTCCCTGAAAATCCTCACGGTCTCTGTAAATAAGCTTGTGTTTGGCACGTGCACCGGGTAGAGACCACAGCATGTTATTACGCTCAATGCCGAGACAATTCAATGTTCTAATCAGACAATCAACTGAAAAATAATTGCCTCAGCTCTGAACAATGATTAATCCTTTCAGGCGTTTATCAATCAAACATCCCATACCAGTTGTTTTTAATTAAGGTGTCTCAAACCAAATTACCTAATAACGAAAGTGGAATATTGTATCTCTTCAAACGTTGTGAGACACATCTAAACTTTGCTCAGAAAACAGATTTTAGGATTTCTTTAACCTTCCTGAGAAAAATACAGAGCAGTAAGGGTCACATTTATACAGTATGAAAACAAAACATAAACTATTATTACTAACATTATATATAGAGAGAGAATTATTCCCTTAATGAATTTTAGCTGCGGTGTACTGACCAGCAAAAACACGTTCATGTTTACTTTTAAAAAACAAAATCAGCTTTGATTATACTGTTATTTCTTGGCATATGCTTTTCTGACAGAACACCTGCCCTGGAGTCAGGTTTGCTGTTTAGAGTATGTTACCATGGTGACTAGCCTCACAAAGAATGAATCCAGCTTCATGGTACCGGAAGGTCAGGGTTGAGGCTGAAGTTGTCTTGCCAAGCCATTAATTCTGCGTCATGGTACAGGCCTCAGGTCTGTCATGGACTGGATTTTTCTATACAAAGTACAGACTATTCAAAACACAATTTTTATACTTAGATAACCTTTATTCTATATATGAACACAGATTCCAAGTCTAGATCTAAGAAGCCTAGGTTTTCCTAAAATTTTGCTTAAACCTCATCTTTTTCTCATGAACCTGATAATGATACAATGTAGGTTATTTATGAGCAGCCTGCCAGTGCTGATTCTGGAAGTCATTTCCAATACCTTATTATTCATTGGCTTTTCTAAGCGAAAGAGGCTTAAAGGCTTATATTGGCAATAAAGGTTTTCTTTAAATATAAACCTGAGCAGATTTCATAACAGTGACAAACTATATGTTTCCCACTTATAAAACCAGGGTTAAACAGATGGCCATCCTCCCCTTTATATTTTTTTTCCTTTGAAGTAAACTCCCTGAGCACCCATACTCAAGTGAGAAGCCCCAAAATAAATTTTCTGTAATTTGATGTCACATCACACTTCCATACCTCTCTGGCAGTTGGCTGCTTTTGCCTTTAATGAGTAGAATAAGTTACTTAATCTACAGGGCAGGCTTGCAGGAACAGCTGTCTGGGGCTAGTTAGTCACAGGCCACAAACAGTTATACCTCTCTCCTGGGTATTGCCCAAAAAAGGCCATACTCATGTACTTTTGCTCACTGCAAAGTTCAATAAGTACACTCAGGGTCAAGTACTCCATTTAATGACATGTTAACAGCAGCAATTAAAGAAAAGAAAGGGATATCCTTCCTTTTCTGTCATTGTTCTCTCGGAAGGCAATTTAAGCCACTGACCTTCATGTTACAACTGCAATCCCGACCTTCAAACTAACTCCCACCGTTTGCCTCACCTCTCTCCCCCTCTTTCTGTTTTACTTCTTATCTTCTCTCACACAGCAACATACAATCCCCAGTCAGCTCCAACTTCAAAAGGCTGCCGTACTACAGCAGTTATTGGTTCCTGTGTTTTGGCATCTTTGCCCTGAGAGATTTAAAAGCTAAAGAACAAGTTGTGTTTTTATCAAAGCCTTTTTTAGTGTGTCAGTCAGCGAGGTCTACATTCAGTACCAAGGAGAGAATTCAGATAAGACAGAGATGTGCACCCCTAACTTTGTGCTAAGTATCAACTAAAAACAAAAAAACAAAGCCCCTATTATATGATACATCTCTTACCTTCTCTTATAAAAACGAAAAATCAAGCTTGTGACTTGCCAAGCAGCTTTATCCAATTTGGGATTTATTTCTACGACGTTGCTTTGGTTTAGCATAAGTCAGTTTTAGACCAAGCATAAAATAATTTTTTTACATAAACAATGCACAATTGTCTATTTTAAAAAAAAGTGCTCTATGTCTTATGGAAAAGCTTCCTCTGACCGTGCAAAGACTCTCCCAGTGTGTCATTTTCCAATCCGCAAAATCCATTCAGTAACATTAACAACTTCATCACATCTAGATCTGGACTTTACAGTAAAAAAAGGTCTCAGAAGGGGTATTCTATTGTAGTTAATTATTAATGGGCAATATTCCTCTTTTACTTCTATTTCCATTTGTGTATAAGCTTGTAACTCACTATGTCATATTCAATCTCCTGTGCAAAATCAAGAAATATACAAGGGAAAAGCCTTAGTTTGAGAAAAAAAAAAAAAAAAAAGCAAACACAAGGCAGACGAAATTTTCCAAACAGTGATGTTACATTTAAAGCGGTGGACTTAAGCATCACTTCATCAAAACTGCCCATTACAATCATAAGTATGGCCATATCAGGATAACTATTTATTTTATTTCATTTTTTATTTTGTAGATCAATGTATAGGACAGCTAACAAATAAAGATCTGGTTCAAAAGTGCTCTTTTTTGAGCCCAAAATTATTTTGTGATAAAAAATAATTAGATATACAAGAATTGAGGCTCCTTTTTTCAGTTAGACATAGCAATTCCAGCTCCAGTGTTATTCTCATTTTTATAATCAGTTATGTCAAAAATATCTTTTACATTAGGGAGTGATTCCGAGGTTCACTTTCATTGATCTCACCCATATTTTCTTCACAGACGGTCTTTGCTGATAAATTTCCACACACCAAACATATTACTTAAACAGGTATCTATTTGTACAGAAGACAACCTACAATATGTTTAAAAACAAGTTACAAATACCATGTAATTTCCCATATATGGCAGTGGTCATGACTCATTGAGCTAAGAGTATTTTAAGGTAACTTATTCACTTTTTTTTTTAACTCAACTAGGGAACAGAATTTCTCATTTATAAAATATTATTTTGACCCTAACCCTAACCCTTTCTTTCTTTTAATGTCAGTAATTACATCTTACATTAAACAGCTATATTAATGTAAACTTTAGCAAGAAGAGGACTGAGGCATGAGTCAGTGTATTAAGAGTCTCTACATACCAACACATTGGTGACAAATGCATACTGTCAAAGGTACCAAAAGGTGGTTCAATAACCATGCTTTTACTGTGTGTTATTTTTGTCAGCATAAAGACAGGACCTGAACCCCATTAAGAATCTAGTGGATATTTTCGAGAGTAAAATAAGAGACATCAGACCCAGCAATGCAGATAACCTGAAGGCTGTAATTAAAGCAATATAGACTTCCATTAGACTTCAGCAGGACCACAGGCTGATAGCTTTAATTCCACACTGCATTGATCCAGCAATTCATGTAAATAGAGACCCAAACATGGTTTAAGTGCTAAGAAATCGAGATAGTTTTACTAATTAAGATATTTTTTAAAATGCAGATAATCTTTTTTATTTTCTCACTTATTATTTGCATTTTCTGAGACACTGAATTTCAAGTTTTCATTATCTGTAAATCATTATCAAAATGAATACAATAAACAAGGGACTGAAATATCCCTCTATCTGTAATTAATTCATAAAACAAATAAGTATATTTCCTGAAATAAGCAGAAAAGAATATTCACATTTATCAGAATATTAGTTCTATTTTTTAAATGCAGCTGTGGAATAACATAGACTCAAAGCTTGTTAACACTAAGTCATTTATGGTTAAAAAAAAAAATATAAAAAGTGTGCAAAAACACCAAAAAACTTCCCACTTTATTTCATACACGGATAACAGATCATAGAACCACTTAATTCCAATGGTGAAACATTATGTACACAGAAAAAAATGAAGTATAGGTTACTTACCTTATCAGCCATTATCATAGAAGAACCACCATGAACTCCCAAAACCGGAAGCTGTGTCTGAACTGACAGGAAGTCCAAGATCTGGGCAATGGCCTCCTGATCGGTGCCATCAGCAAACACAAGGCCGTGGAGACGAGTGCGAGACACAAGTTCACACACCTGAGACACAGTGAAAGAGCATTTTAACCCAAGGCGACACAGATAGTTCACATAGTATAGATGTCAGTGTTGCACAATTCATGTTTAATGTATAACATTTGCTATATCAGCTAAAGGCATTTGAAATGCAATTATTGTCAGCTGATAATTATCAAGTGCCATTACTACAGACTTTTCATGATAAAGAAATGGTTTGTCTGTTAAATGGAGTCTCTTTGTTTCAGGTGTTCTACAGTAGACCCGATACAGAACACAGTGCCTAAAACACTGATCAGAAAAAGTAATAGTAAGTAATAAGTAAAAGAAAGAAGAGGGACGAAAATATGTATACATCAAATCTAAAATGATGACAATAATATTTATTGATATTGCCTTTGCAGGGTTTTTCAATATTTGGCTGCGTTTACTAAAGATGACATATGTGTTGACAACCTTACACCTGCTAAACACAATGCTTCACTTATCTTGAAGAGTGATCAAATTTGTTGTATGCATATCTGCATGCCTTTATTTTAAGAAAGTGAAAACAAAATTATGAAAATAAGTGATTTTATCTACATGCCAAGATACGTAAAAGTTTTAAGCCCGGATTTGTTGGTGCCTTAAAAAAACATTCATCCAAGTATTATATTCATGGTTTAAATTGAGTTAGAAATATAATTATGGATGTTTAAGATAAGCCATTATTAGGCCTCACCAAACATTACACTTTTAACCAAACTTGGCTTTATAGACACCCTCCAAAAAAATACATCAAAAGGATCAAAGTGGAATAAAAAAACTAAGAAAAAGATCCTTTAACCAACATCAACAAAATCCTTCAGTCAGGCAGCAGCTTGTCTATAGAGGGCGCTATGGTGCCATCCCAATCATACTGCGGGGGAAAAATGTATAGACACAGGCAACAAGATAGGAAATTAAATACCTTTAATATCTGTTTACTAACAAGATATTTCTAATATTTGACTTTACAGTATTCTTATTCCATTGGGGATAAACTCAGGGCCTGTTTTTTGTGTTGGTCGTAAAACATGCGTGTCCATTGAGAGGGGAACCAGCCACATTTCTGTATCTATGCTCTCAAACTTTTGGCTTGCAAATAGCTTTGTGATTTTTTGTGTCATCCCTCATCCAATCAGATTAATCAATGATACCTGTCAAAGTCACACGGCAAGTTAGAGACATGGGTGTTAATGTCAGTTTCAGATTAAAAAATACAGGGAAGAATAGAGTAGTGAAAAAAAGCAGATAACGAAATTTGGACAAGACCAACCTGACTTAAAATCCAGCCAGAGTGTATTTCTATTTCTAATCCCTGATCTTTATTGTCTATTGGATGATGCATAGGAGAGCACTAGTTAGAGAAAAATTGAGAACCGCTGTCTAAGACAATACCAGAGAATTATATATGGAATATGGCTTTGAATCTAAACATATCAGCTGTTAGGGCACTACAGAAAGGCTGAATGAACAAAAATAACATTGAACTATTATCATAAGGTGTATAATGAGCTCAGTATTATTTAATGAGCAGGCAAAAGACTTCACCCTTAAAACTGTTGCTCTAAGAAGGTCGCCAAAATCACTGTTGGTAAATCTCTTAAAGTAAAGTTTAGAGATCATTTGTGGGCAGTAATGCAACTAATAAAGCTGCTGTATTTTCTGTCCATAGATTTTTTTAAATATATAATTGTTTAATATATTAAACTAAATCAGTTATCCCAGAGGAATGTCTAATATGTGTTATGTACAAAACAAGGGCTGGTGTCATTTAATATTGCTAATTGGTATCAACAAAGCATTTATTGTCTGTAAAATATCATGATACACCTTTGAAAGTAAGCACTTCTCACCTGTGTGATTATAGACTTTGGGTCCGTCTGGTTGATCTTCAGAATAACTACAGAGGTATCTAATGGGTCATCTGGGCGTCGAGGAGGCCGAAGGTTCGGGTCGGCTACCGGACGTGTCTGGCCCATTATCACACCCACACTGAGGGCTGGAGGCTTCTGGGATGCCACAGGCATCATGACTGAGGAGAGAAGGACGAGTGTCCAGCCCGCCACACCCATCATACCCTACGGAACACAGAAAGAGAAATTAAAAGAAGTGATTAAATACTCACATCCCATTCAATTTAAACACAGAACTACTATAACTATGGCACTGAAGGGCAAACCACGTCTGACTTCATTCAGATGACCCATTTCAACCCTCCTCCACCATCATAGCTAAAGGTTCATCAGAGTTTTATTCCCCCTGGACTCTTACTGCACTCGCATCTCATTTTAACCAGTCCGGCAGAAGACCGCCATGTTGAGCCTGGTTCTGCCAGAGGTTTCTTCCCTATGTTAAGTTTTTCCTCTCCACTGTCGCTTCATGCTAGCTCATCATGGACAGGTTCTCTCAACCTGTGTTTATCCAAGCTGGACTTCCATCTTCCAGGTCCCTGAGTGATCAGCTCACTCAGTCCACTGGATCTCCCCATAAAGCTCAGTATACCATCTCACTAACCAGCAGTCTACAGACTGACTAACTTCATCTATCTCCACTCCACCACCAGTTTCAGGCCTGGGGGGAAAAAGTCCTATTCTTTACTCCTCTTCAAGCATATCTATCAAAATTCAGCGCTATGTTTCCTGCCGAGGTCTGAGCGCCAAAGACTAAAGTAATTTTATCAATAAATTTCTTGTAACTGGCTTTTCTCTCAGTGTCAGTTTTTCAGATCGAAATGTAGTGCTTTTGAATATGTTGTGTTATTTTTCTATATTTCTGTTTTCTAATATGTTATTGTGGTTTTTAATATGTTGCTGTGTTTTTTTAAGCTGTCGTGTTTAAAGATTTGTTGATGTGGTTGTACTTTATGGGGAACCGTACAGAAGTGATGTGACTTGCTACTGTGGTTGTCACAATACTAAACTTTTCAATTCGATACCGATACTAAGGAAAATATTCGATACTCGATACCATTTTCGATACCACAAGGATAAAAACAAAGACTCCAAAATTCTACCGAAATATTTTCATTAATAAATAAAATACAATAAATAAATACAATAAACAATAATAGCAATATTTTGAGGTTGTATGCTGTGCACAATATTAAGCAAGCTTGATAAAAAAACATATAAAATTAAAATTAAATGTTCCTCTCTTGGCTATGCTTTGCACACATAACAATGACACTCGCCAAACCGGTTAAGAAACAAAAATAATTCTCAGCAGCTGCACCTCTTACAAAAAAAGAGGTGCAGCTGATACAGTGCCACCACTACTTTTAAAAACGAGTATTGTATCTGGATACGTTTCAGTATCGATACTTTTTTGAGTATCGATACTTTTGACAACCCTACTTGCTACTGTATCTTCATCTGATTTAAAATACTCTGGAAACATGAAATAGAAATTAAAATTGAAGTGTTTCCTTGAAAAGATTATCTTTGACTATTTTAATAACTTTTGAGCTGACAATGACAGCACAACATCTGTGGGAAATTTAATTACAGAAGGTGTCAATCAAAGAATTAAGTACAACACATATTAAAGAAGCAGTCTAATTTTAATCATTTTCATGTGCCAGCATAACAGAGAGCAGTGACATACACTTTTGCCATGTTTTTCTTTTTCTTATTCAACTCTTCAAGGTAAAGTTGCTTAAAAAAATAGGGTAATTGGTCTGGAGAGGCATGCTCAGTGGCAGAGTCAGAGAAAGGAGGTTGTGTTCCACCTGTTTAGGAGAATTTCACTTTGTCTGGAAAGGTAGTCTCACATTTAAGCTTTTGAAAAGCTAGGACTTCATATTTGTTAGAGAAGAAAAATGACAACAAAAGAGCTTTTTCAACAATACTATTACAGGTTTACAAGGAGTCACATCAATAGTAGGGACTACAGAATCTTCTTCACAAATAAAAAAAAATGCTTCCATCAGAGAAAAACTTCATACTTAATTCCTTTACTCACACTGATGCATTTAGAGCTGCTGTTTTCATACCTTTGATTAAAAAAAATAATAATAATGCATGTGCTGTTTAAAGATACAATAACATTGATTCATTATAGTAAAACAAATTATTTGCTTACCATTAAAATTTAAAAAAATAATAATGATAATAATTTGTTGAAGAAGTAAGGACTTGGAAAACCTAATACTGTAGCAAGTAATACTAATCCAAAGTGAATTGGCTTCTCTGAGAGAAATACGAAGGCTCTGATAGGTGATGAGGTGGTTTTCGTGTTGCGATCACTTTTTTATTTACTTTTGGTGAAAAACTGAAGCTACATTTGAGTTTTGAGAAAAAAAAATTTTGTTTTTGTCCATGTCCAGCAAAACCCTGTCAGCCATAAGACAGCATCAAAAAATGCCTAAGAGAAGGAGCAATATCAGATGAAAATGGTGGATCACATAATGCATTGTATCTTAAAAATATTTTTCTTCTGTTTGTAGCTTTCTGTTAAACAGCCGGCTAGCGCTGGCAGCAACAAAGCACTGAGCAGATGTTGTGCAATACGCAGCGTGGTAATATCATATCTAGGGAATGTCTAAATTTCCTCAAAATCTCAGACTTCGGTTTTATATGCGGCATGAAAAAGCCGCATATAAAAGGCAGACATAGAAGGGTAAATTTTATCACATGGGGTCCCTAGATAATGCTTATCCCATGTAAATAAGGCTTATGCTGCTGAAAGCTTTCTGAGGTGAGACATGTTTTCTCTGTGCTAGTTTTTCCTAGTTTTCCCATATGTTTAGGTGTTGATTTTTGCTTTTGCCATGTGTTAATGTGAAGACTTTGGGCTAAAGCCCAAATTATGTTTACTACAGCTGCTCTATTTCATTGTGTAAATAGTGTAGCTATCTCAATTTATACTAAACAAAAGTAGTAAATAATACATACATCCAGTTATAAAACAATAAAAAACTTATTTAAATATGAAGGAGATTAATTAAGTAATTGAAACTCAGTCAACAGATCAATGAAAAAAACTGTTAGAGGCAGTCAAGGAACATCAGGAGACAAAACTGATTTGCAAGGCTAAAATACTTTAAGTTCCATGCTCACAGTAAGAAGCTTGGCATGAAGATGACAGCAGCTCCCATAATTATGAGCAAACTTAATGGCATTCAGTCTGGACCTTATGCCCAAAATCTTTTTTTAGATAGTAAGGATGACCATATAAAGTATAAAAAGCATCCTTCAAATACACAGCATGGTAATGACTTTTAGGTGCTAAGAAAAACCGTCACCAATAACACCATTCATGAGGGCCCCTGGTTTGGAAAAAAAAACAAACAAACATGTAAATTGCAAAGTTATTGCCAATGAACCTTCTAAAGCAAGGGTTCTTAAATTTCAGCACTCAAGGTCTTGTGTCCTGCACTTTACAGATGTGTCTGCTTTAACCCACCTCAGTCAAGTAATCAGTGCATCTGCAGAACTGCATACTGAGGAGGCTATTTAGCCATTTGATTCAGTAGCGTGGAAACACACACAGTCAAGGTGAAGGATAAAAAATTTCTGAAGCACTTTAGGCATTAGATTTACCATATGTATTTGTTAGCAGGGAATTTGGTACTCTGACCCAAAAACAGAGGTAGAAACATTACGGTTTGGGATTACATGTTTAAAGGAGAAGTTCGGTTTTTTACACTTTAAGCCCATTTTCTGTAGTGTCCAGGATGAAATCGAATGATCGACACCAAAATTTTGACAATTGCTCCTGTCTCTGCTTTTTGGCTCATGCAGAATCACCCCCTGGCTGCTTTAGAATGGCTAGCATAGAGCATGTAAATCCCACTGAGTTCTGTAGGAATAGTCAATATTCCGCTGCCACCGGAAACGGAAATGGGGCCTGTTTACACAGTTGTAGTCTTTTCGCTTCACTCTGTGTACTCCGACGTCGAGGTGCTAACGTCTCTGTTAAACACTTTAAAAAACTCTGAAAATGGAATACGAAAGGTGGATTCTTGATTCTCGACGTCGGAGTACACAGAGTGAAGCGAAAAGACTACAACTGTGTAAACAGGCCCCATTTCCGTTTCCGGTGGCAGGGGAATATTGACTATTCCTGCAGAACTCAATGGGATTTACAAAATGCTAAATAAAACACTACAGGAACGTTTGTTCTTCACGAAACTTTTTTTGGAACGTCATTGAACAGCGCTGACGACACGGTGAGTAGCATATTTTAAAAAAAGAACGTTTAAGGTTGTTTTAAGGACATTATCGGACATGCTCTATGCTAGCCATTCTAAAGCAGCCAGGGGGTGATTCTAAATGAGCCAAAAAGCAGAGACAGGAGCAATTGTCAAACTTTTGGTGTCGATCATTCGATTTCATCCTGGACACTACAGAAAATGGGCTTAAAGTGTAAAAAACCGAACTTCTCCTTTAACTAAGGGTTTAGTCTCACAGTACAATGTTTGGACCCTCCTCCTTTTGCCAGACTGCTAAAGCTATCAGTAGATCAGTACATCAAAAGCAGGATATAAAACCAAGCCAACAAAATAAGTGTCATAGTAAGATGATGGAGTGGAGTAAGATGATAAACTGATTCAGAATGCTGCTGCCCCCATCCTCACTAAACCCAAATCACCCCAGTTCCAAAGTCTTTACACTGGCTCCCTGTATTCATGATGATATCCTTGAGGATAAACTATAAATTATTTCATTTAGTTTATATCCTGAGCAGTTTAGTACCAGAAAACACCAAATATTTATTGTAGTTTTATAAACCATTAAGAACACAGAGGTCTTCTGGTTCAAGTCGACTCTGCGTCCTTAGAACCATACCTAAAAATTCAGAAGACCAAATCAGCTTTCATGCTTTGTTACTTTTCAGAAAAAAATCCCAAATGCTAAAACCTAGAGTTCTTCTCAGTCAAGATTAAAATCTTTTTCATTTTCTTATGTTTTCTCAATGTAGAACACTTTCAAATGTTCTATGAATTTAAATGTCCTTGCACTCCAGTATGCGAAGCTATAGTGAAAGTAAAACAATAACATTTTCCATTTATAACCGATTTTAATATCTCATATGGCCTGCTACTCTTATAATTTCCTTTGAGAAAAGTGCTGACTCA